AACGTCTATACTGGACGTAGCTATAGTGGGTTTAAACTTCCTTAAGAGAGATGATTTTGATCTCTCAACTTGGACTTCTTCATAATATAACTTTAAGCGTTGTCCATTAACCACAAATGTCCTTTCATCATTAGTTTGAACTTCAATAGCTCCATACAACTTTACATCTATAACTTCAAAAGGTCCATACCACGTTGATCTCAACTTACCTGGGATCAGCTTCAAGCCAGAGTTAAATAGTAAATCTTTTTGCCTAACTTTAAATCCTCTCTTCAGAATTCTTTTGTCATGCCAAGCTTTAGTTCTCTTCTTGTATATATGAGCATTCTCAAAGGACTCCCTTCTAATCTCATCTAACTCATTGAGTTGGAGAATACATTTGTCACCTATAGCTTTCAAATCATAGTTCAAAGCACGCACAGCCTAATATGCACGATGCTCAATCTCTATAGGAAGATAACATGACTTGCCACATATTAATATGTAAGAGGACATACCTAATGGTGTCTTATATGTAGTTCTATATGCCCACAATGCATCATTCAACTTTAGAGACCAATCTTTCCTAGATGCATTTATAGCTTTTTCCAATATGCCCTTTAGCTCCCTATTAGAGACTTCTACTTGGCCACTAGTTTGAGGATGATATGTGGTGCTTGCTCAAAGATGACACTTATATTTTCCTAACAAGGATTTGAACTGGTGGTTCCTAAAATGCACCCCATTATCACTTATGATGGCTCTAGGGACACCAAATCTAGAAAAAATCTATTTAACAAATTTGACCATGTTAGATGCTTTGTTATTTGGCAAGGCAATAGCTTCTACCCATTTAGTAACATAATCAATAGCAACAAGTATATGAGATTACCGTAGGAGGGAGGAAAAGGCCCCAAATATCAAAAGGTTCAATCTTTAATATACCTTACTGGGGCATCTCATGCCTCTTACCAATTGTACCTATTTGTTGGCATTTGTCATAATTTGTCACAAAGTCCTTGCATCCTTGAATAGTATAGACCAATAAAACCCACTTTGAAGTACTTTAGTTGCCGTTCTGTCAGCCCATGATGTAACATACTAAAAAAAATGTAAATAATATATATAATAATAATATTTTATTATAAAAAAAAAGAAAAAAAAAGGGGGACAACTTTCCACCAAATCGGTGGAAAGTTGGAGGCAAAGAAGAATTTGAGGGGGGTGTATTAAATGAAAGAGGAATGTTGAGGGGGAGTGTTAGATGGGTTGGAAAAAAATTAGAAGGTAATAAATGAAAGAAGAAATTGGATGGAAGAAAAAGAGGGGGAAGGTACGGATGGAAGTAAAAAGTGGGAGATGAGCCGTGGAAAAATGAAACATGGGGTATTATATATATATATATATATATCATCCCCCGGTGATCTCCTTCAAGCAAGAGCAAGAGAGTGCGGAAGAGGAAGAGAGCAAAAGAAAAGAGAAGAGAGAGAGAAGCATAGAGAAAAAGAGACAGAGAGAGCCGAGTTGCAGAGTACCTGACGGTTTTGGAGATCATTTAGGTACACAAAACTACTTCTTGTTATCATATTTTCTTTATAAATATTTCCTATATATTTATAGCTTTATATTATTAGTATCATTATCATATTTAGAGAAAATTTTACCGCTTGGGTATAGAGTAAATATGGAGTTTTGACAATATATGACCGTAGAAATTTAAAAATACATTATTAAGAAATTTTAATCGGTTTATTTTTGTTGAATGATTATTTTGAGAATTTTAAACTAAGATTTTAGTTGAAAAGTTTGTTATTTAGACTTGTAATATGTTTTTACCGATTAAATTTGAGTTAAATAATTTATATGAGTTATTTAATATATTATTGAGATTTTAATCGGTTTAAATATTGAATAAGTTAAAGATATATTTTTGAAATAATTTTTGAAGGCTTGAAAAATTATAAATTGAGAATTTTGTAAAATTAAATAAAGCTACAGTTTGTTTATAATTAAAAATATATATATACTTTTGTTAAATTTAAATAGCCTTATATGTAAATTATTTTTCAAAATAATATCTATTATAAATGCCTAGATTTGGGAGAGTTAATATATTTATGTAATTTTGGTTTAGAGGATAGTCTTAGAATTTTAGAGTAGCTTTGGAGTAGCTTTGAGTTTATGTTAATGAATATTTATGTGCAATTTTGTAGACTTAGAATTTTGGAGTAATCTTTGTGTGAACATTTGTAAGCTAAAGAGTACCAGGTAACTCTGAAAATTCTTTCTTGTACATGTGAATTGTGTATGAATATATTGTGGATTTACTAATTATTATATTACTGAAATATAATATTATGATTTTTTGTACAATAAATGTTTTGGTATGTTACCTGTTTTATTAAGGTTTGTTGCTAGTAATTATGATCAACATTTAAATATATTAATAGCTATGAAATTATCATGAGATACTGTTAAATGGTATATGAATTTTATTGCTATCTTATTTTTAATAATATATTTGAGAATATATTTATGATGTACCATTATTTGCATATGACATGCATTGTTGGGTTAAGATAGAAGGAGATTGCATGGATATAAAATTACCACGTGGTATGCCATCACTCGGTGCACAGTGGATGGCACTTGTCAGGGCCCCTTCTTCCATGTTTTCCTTTGGCCGGGAATTCATTGGAGCTATGGGACATGTGACACCTCCCTATTCACAAAGGAGGGGAGCCATAGTCCGAGCTTGAGCTCTATATCTTTGGCCGGATATATCTCTAGTATCGGTGAGCTTGGAATAATTCAGTAAAATGGATTAGTTCCTATCGGACTATGTGTTAGCCTATGGCTCCAGTCAGCGGTATAAGGGTGGACGGTGATATAAGGGAGGCAACATATTGCATTATTTTTGGATATATTAGAAAAATGATATTGGTATATTGTTGAAAAAATGAAATTGAATTGAATGTCTCAAATCCGTGATTTTTGATAAATTTATATACACACATATAAACAGATTTTTGGTTTATCATATGTGATTTGCTTGTATAGGTTAGAATTTCAGTAGTTACTGAGACGTTTGAGCTCATCCCCTATATTAACAATTTTCAGGCGAAGGATCTAGTAAGAATCAAGGGAAGGCACCATTGGAGTGAGCCGTGAAGGCTTCTGTGCTCCTCAAGCACATGCTGTGTTATATTTTTATTTGCCATGACTATAAGACTTTAATAGTTTATGTTGTTAAGTTATATTAGAAATGTTTTGAAATTTTGACTTAATTGCAGTATTAAAAATGTGTATGGACTTTTAAATTAAATATTTTATGGCGTATATTGATATAATTATGTGAGGTGTTACACATGATAGCCTCTATAAGGTGACAAATGGCATCCTTCAAAAATTTGGACCATCTCCTTATTTGGCACACAGATCTATATGATCCCATTTGCACACCTTCTAAAAAGAAGTGGTTCATCCCCAAGGTAATGTCTTGCTTCTGCTATGAATCTCTTCCTTTGACAATTATTCATGCTATTAGGGATTATACCTGTAACAACATAATTAACAAAATCTGTAAACCAAGAAGCAAGTAGAGATTTAACCACCCAAAGTCTCTCATCTGGGAATTCTTTATTTATAAAACTTGATCGCTCTCGCAAGTGTACAGGCTCAATGTATCAATAACATCAATGCTAAAACCATTCCCATCAAAGCAAGAAAACTTTGTAACTTTAGATACTTGAAATAATTCGTTTTGGTCACCCACTCGAAAAAGTAATGTTCCTTCACGTACATCAATCAAAGCCCCATCAGTTACTAAAAATGGCCTCCCTAATATTAGAGAGATGTTCTAGTTATCCTCAATATCTAAAATAATAAAATCAGCAGGAATATAAAGTTTACCGACTTTAACTATGATATCATCAACCACACCTCGTGGATATCTAATTGACATATTTGCAAGTTGGAGAGTCACGTTGATTGGTTTAATATCTGTCATCCCAAGCTTTCTACATAAAGAATATGGCATCAAATTAACATTAGCACCTAAATCACATAAACAATTTTCAACAATATTAGAACCAATATCACAAGGAATAGTGAAACTCCCTAAATCTTTCAGTTTGGGTGGTAGCTTCTTTTGTATAATTGCACTGCACTCCTTTGTAAGTGGCACCGTGGAATAATCTTCTAACCTTTACTTGTTTGAAACTAGATCCTTGATGTATTTGAGATAAGAAGGCATTCTTGCTCAGGCTTCTATAAAAGGCACATTAATTTGGATATCTCTTAACATCTTAAGAAACCTTTGGAAGCCTGAATCTTGATCTTTCTTTTTAAGGCATTCAGCATATGGGATAGGAGGTACACAAGGTTTGAGTCCAGATGGAGAAGGACTACTTTGAATCATATTCTTAACTTTGGGAACTTTAATTAGCTCATCATTATCTTCAGTATTCTTCTTATCACTTACCTTGTTATAGGTCCTTTTAGCCCCAATGTTAGCTTTTTTAAGTTCTTTACTATTCCGTAAGGTGACTACCATGACTCCCTCCCTTGGATTAACTTCAGTATTGCTAGGAAATTTGTTTTCACCTTATTCAGTAAGCAAGCTAGCCAAATTGCTTATTTAACCATCCACATTTTTCACAGAGTTTCCCATCTGTGACTCCATGTTTTTTACAAAAGCTTGAGTTGATGCAATTGCTTGCTTGAGTTGGTCAATTTCTTTATTCATGTTCTTCATGTGGTTAGCTTGGTGAGTGGCCATTTGAGCTAAAGCTTCCTCCAACCTTGTTATGTGATCCTCCATTACGTTTCTTTACTGTTGGAAACCTGGTGGTGCTTATGGCCTTTGAGGGGTAGAATTTTTCCAAGAAAAATTAGGATGATTTCTCCACCTCAGATTATATATAGGGGTGTTCAAATTGTCCCATCTTGGTGGGTCCATCCCGGTCCCAGTAGCGTTAGGACGGGACGAGATGAGACAAAAAAATTTGTAGGACGGGACAATGCCGGGACAAGACAAAATATACCTCGAGACGAGACAGGACACAAGACAGGGTCGTCCTGTCCTAGGGTATATACTATATAATTAAAATTTTTTTGCAAATATACCGACCTCCTTATCAGATCCTAACTATATTTTTATTTCTAATAGTCTAATGCCAAACCAATTTGACGCCTCCCCTTAGCCTTCAGTCCACTCCTCGTTATTTCCTTCCCCGGCTCCCTGCTACGTGACCTCCACATCCTTCGATACCTCCCCTGGATCACTTTGCCACCTTCAAGATCACTTCTTGGGTTGACTTTATTTTCCAATTACTGGTACCGGAGGAATCAATAAGCAACTTTGATTATCTCTTCAAGGCACCGGGCTCATAAGCCTGTCGGGATAGAGTGCTAGAAGGGGCTATTTCTACACTGGCTTCCCTGCAACATTGCGCTCCTACTCTCCTATAGATCTCCCTCTATTCGGCCTCTCACGTTTAGTCCAGTGCTATGGTGATGGTGTTTTTTATTTAATTAGATCAGTCTTTGATCATTATTATTATGTATAACGGACCAGAGGACTTTTTGTTAATTTAAAAGTATTGCAAAGGCCCAAATAACAAAGAGAAAATACCATGCCCAAAAAAAAAAAGGAGACCCAACAGAAAAGGTCTAGTTTGAAGGGGTGGGAAAAAAAAAAGAGGATGGGATGGAACTGGGACGGGACGAGTCACAGGACAAAATCTTTGTCCCGTCCCTGTTCATTGGGACGGGAACGGGATGGGCTTGTCCCAATCTCGTCCCGTCCCGTGAACTCCCCTAATTATATATGTTGAAGTATAGGTCATTCTTGGGATTAGCACCCATAAGTTAGCCTCCTCCACATAATCACCATCATTGCCTATATGAAGAGAATTATTAATAGCTGAAGTAGAAAGGGAATTAACAGAATTAAAAAATTTTAGTAATAAATTCAAATTCTTTATTAAATCCCTTAAGTCAAGAGAGATGTTTGAAGTAGTGACTTTGTTAGCCATCGCCCTCCTTCCTCGAATTGACTTTTGCCTTGAATTTGATGCTAGAATCTTGTAAATGTCCTCTCTTTCTTCAGCTGTCATGTTATTTGGATCACCATAAGCTATATTATCAACTTTGCTTTGATTGTCCGATGTGAGCCCATTATAGAAAAAGTCTATTAAGAGTATATGTGGGAATTGATGACAAGGACATTGGCTAATGAGGAGATTATACCGCCCCCGTGCTTCATGGAATGACTCATCACCTTGTTGCGTGAAGAAGTGAATCTTGTCCCTTAACTCTGAAGTCTTTTATAGTGAGTAATATTTTAGCATAAACTACTCGTACATTTGATTCCAAGATGTTATAGAACCTTCTAGTAAGCGCAGAAGCCATTGACGAGCACCTCCCTTCATACAGTATGGAAAGCAATGCAACTTCAAATCATCATTTGATAAGCCATTCAATGGCAATGTGTCAATTACTGTATAATACTCCCTTATAAAATCCAAGGCATCTTTAGTTGTATGCCTATTGAAATTAAGTAGTGCATTCAGATGTATATTTTTAAATTCATAATTGCACGTAACAGGACTTAGTTGAATACAAGATGGATTAGAGGTAATAAGGGGGCGTTGAATATCATGGAACGTGATATTTTGCTCTAGAACAATAGCACCATCAACCATCTCACTTCTTAGTTAACTTCTATTTTTTGTGCAAAACTGTTCAATTTCTAAATTAATAGGAGTCAAAGTAGAGCTACCAGAACTTCTTAATTGCATAAAAACAAAAATTAATAAAAAATAAAGAAAAATAAAATCTGAAGAATTAGTAAATCCGTATCCTTCCTTGCAACAGCACCAAAAACTTGATCTTCCCCCTAAGTGTATGGGCTCGATATGGTAAAAATCCGAGAGTAATCTAGGGTCATACCCATAGGGAGGTTGTGCTTTTACTAATCCAAATAAGTAACAATGAGAATAGATGAATTGATTAATGAGATATAATGAAATAATAAATTAAAAGCAGGAGAAAATCAAATATAAGAGAAAATCAATTACTCAAATCGTTGGGGTTCAGGATTTATCCTATGGGTTACTAGTTTCTATCCTTTGAATTGACTCTTTATAGTGACAACTATTCCTAAAGTGTCCTAATATTCTCCCGAATTATTAGTCCCTATTTAATTAGAGTTGAATTCATTTCCACGACACCCAAACAACCAATTAAACCTTGAAGCTATAGTCTTGAGTCACCATAAATATCTAAAACTATCCCTAGCCTAAATATTTATATTTACTTCTCTAGATCTAGGTTCTCTCTTCACCTCCCAGTCCATCAAGATCACCCATAATTTAGATTCAATGGTAACCAGTCATAAAATCCACATGACGAATAAGAGAAATAGATATAAAAATCAAAATATATTCATAAAAGTCATAAAAAGAGTCAAAACAGAACTGATAAAAAAAACTAGCTTCTCAGTTAGGCTATATCCCTACCCCAACTGGGGAATTTAGAAACTTATAATAAAATAAACCATAAACAGTATTGTTCTAAGATCTCCAAACATGACAGAACAAAGGAAGAAGAAAAGAGAAATAAACTATCGAAGGGTCCAATAGAGGTCCTCTACTTAGCTGTTGTCACAAGATGAACAAATATAGTAACTTCATTGATTCGTTGTCACAAATAATGCTCTATTACTGCCTCTAGGAATACTCTCCGATGCTTGCTCTCTTGTCCCTAGTTATTGTATCCCCGGTTTCTATTTATAATGGTTTTGCATGTTCTCCCCCTTGAATCCCTTAAATCCACTACCTTTTATCCATATATCTCTTTCAATATAATATATTATATTATATCATGATGATTTGTCTTGTTTCACATAACTTCACGCTTCGGACCCTCTTAATATATCTATATATATAGACAATTATATATATATATACATATATATTATATTTGTTACAATTGTTGGTCCCCTTTTGTTTTATCTTTTATTTGTGATATTTCCTTCTCTGAATAATTTTATATCTCCTGCATTAAAAATAATAAAAGATTTGAGTAGATTTTACACAAGATCATCTTTTATCCTATAATTGATAAAAGAGAGGAAAATCTACAAAAGATAATTAAATGGGCATAAGATATCCATAAATTTAACCAAACAAATCAAAATATACTCCTATTTAATTATAAAATATAGACTTATCACTCCTCATGTTTGCTTCGACTAGTCAGTTTCACCCTTAATTCTAACTTTTTGGGACAATCCAGTGAAGTCTCGTTAAGAAATTTCTAATCCGTGATTGATTTATAATTCTCTCTTCTATGAATGCGTTAAATTCTCTCTTGTGTGAAAGCCCGCTTTCATGAACCATTGTTGCTTGTGTTATTATGTGGGTTTGTACCACTTTATTGATTATATGATTAGTTTAATCTTATACTTTATCCGCTTTAATTAGTATTTTTATTTTGCCCAGAATATGATTATTGTTTATTTCCAATGCAGTCCCTTTAGATGGACAGAGGGCATTAAAAAAAAAAGTTAAGATTTACGATATTATGCATGGTTAAAAAAAAATGATACTCTCTTAGGAGGTGCCCAACGGATGCGAAAGGATGTTCCTAGAAGACAAGATGTTAGCATGACTGTTTTGTTGTTCTTTTGTGCGGCTTTTTAGAGGCGTTTTTTTTTGTTTTCTTTTTTCAATTTTCCGCAAGCTTCGGCTTGCCTTTCCATGGGGTGGGGAAAAAAAAAATCGACCGATCGGTTTGAATCGGAAACAGGTCAAACAATCAATAATTCAGTCTGGCTTGGCTTTTGAACTGGGAAGGTAGGGAACCGGACCAGCGTAAAGCAGTAATAACGCGGATATATTTTTCTGCGATCGTCATGAGTGAGAGGGCAGGGAGGAGAGTGAGAGACAGAGACAGGAAGTAAAAAACTAGGGAGGTGATTGAGGGAAGGGGACTATGAGTACCCGAATAATGGAGAGAACATTGCCAGCTAAGGAAGTTTGAGCGAGAAGATGAAGAATGAAAGGGACGAAAATTACCTTAGGCAGAAATGGAAGAGAAGAAGCAAAAGAAAAGCGAAGAAAGAAGAAGAATTATCTGTTCTAAAACCAATAAAAAAAAAAAGATGGTTAAAGGATAGAGCATTAATGAGCCTATGCTTCGTCCTCAGACTATGCCGCAGGCCTAGGATAACTTTTTTTTTTTATCTTCCGTTTTTTATGGCCTTGCAATCTTTAGCATTACATTCGAATTCTTTTTATCTCTCATTATATATATTTTTGCCAGATATCTCCCATTATATATAAATGCATATTATAAAATTAAAAACATAGAAGGAAAGTCCGGTTAAAAGGCAAGTTATGGAAACAAAAGCTCAAAAGCTGGAAAGCAAAAACACCCTCACCGACCGGAAGAATGACCCTCGCTCAATTTGTCCTTTTGTAACATCTAAATTTATGGGTTTAAAAGTACTAGAAATAGTTTGAATTGGATAGGCTACTAGACCCATTTTGAGCAAAAGTCCTAAAGATAAGAAAGGAAGTCAAAGTAGTTTCAGGGACTAAACTGCAAAGCAAAAGTTTTCAGGGACTCAAGTATAATCAAGTTAGAGACTCCAGTAAAGTCTCGAAGGCCCAAAAAGAAAAAAGATACTAGTTACAGGCCAAAGGTTAAGCTAGAAACCTCAAAGAGAGGATTGTATGAAGTTAAGTCCAAGAAGGAACTAAAGCGTAAATTCCGAAAGTTACGACCAACATGGGTAAAAATGGAAGAGTTTACAAAGAATTCCAAGAAAATCCTAGAAAATGAGAAATAATATTCTAAGGCTCTTCTGTGAAGAGAAAAGATGAAAGTACCCCTGAGGTAGCTTAAATGGAATTTATAAGGTTATGACCAGTAAAAAGTACATTGTTTGAGGTAATTATTTAAAATAGCAAGAGACCTAAAAAAATGTATACAAAAATGAGATTAAATGGTTGAAAGGTTGTACTAATTTATAAAATTAGTCCAATAACCAAAAGGCCAGTAAAATGGCTTTAATAAATTAAAAAGCTGATTATGTCAATAAAAGGGTATTTTAGTAAATGAATTTTATACAAGGCTTAAAGGGAGTGTTGTGGCATAAGAAAATTCATAGATATTCTTGAGAATTAAAGAGAATTTATGGAGCAGACAGAAGAATTTTCTGAGCCCCAGAAGGTCATAAAGAAAGCCGAAGAAACGTGAGCCAAGTAAATTCGGATGAAACTTAAGAAACAAGTTTGATCCAACGGCTAGGATCTAATATCCCTTATCCTCCACTACTTTTATGACACTTGGCATCTTCTAGAAGGATAAGGTAAGGATGATGCAATGATGATGTAAAAGTCAACTTGAAGTTCCAAAATTGTCCTTACCCTTTCTATTAGTCACCAAGGCATTTTAGTCCATTGAAGCTAAATTTTTTGCTATAAATAGGCACTCCCTCCCTTCACATTTTCAGCCAAGCAAGGAACTATAAGGAAAAATTTGCCACTCTTGCATCTAGAGAGAGAAAGAGCTATTTCTAGTGAGAGAAAGTCCACCTAAGTTCAAGTTTCAAGATCAAGGTATGTGATGTTTATAGCATCTAATTCGATGCCTATTTCGAATAAGTTATTCTTTGTATCTGATTCTGAAATTTGGTATGCTTAAAGTACACTCTGTAAGCTTTAAATCCATGGGTAGAACACTTGATTTGGATATGTGTATGATTTATGGTGATTTTTCAAAGTTAGGGTTTGAAATCTGGAAACAGTATTGAACCTTTGGAAGAATGTCGAGTTCTGTAGAATTTCAATACTGTTCAGAATAGAATTGGTTCCTGAAACTATTTTTCGTGTAAATTTAACTTAAGTAGATTTTAGTGAGACTTGGAACCACTCAATTTGGATTTTTCTAGAATTAATTATGAATTTTTAAAATTGAGCAAAAAATCTGGGTTTTCTGCGTGAACAGTACCCGCGAACCAAAATTTTCAGATTTGATCTTCTTGAATCTAAGGCCATCTAAAGTGGTCCTAATTGACAAGAAATTGATCTTAAGGATAGAAAATGATGAGATTTGTGTTAGAAAAGCTAGAAAGAAAACCCTAAAAGGAAGAGAAAGGGTTGAGGTTTAAGAGAGGTAGTCTTAAACTTTATGTAATCTAGTGGTCCTAATAGATTGTATGATATATTTGACTATATTTAGGACCTTTGGAACATCAAAAAGGATGTTTGGTGATATTGACTGAATGCCCACATGGTTGGAAAGTCAAGGGAGTCAAAGGAAAAGTAAGAGGAAAGCTTGAGGTGCAAGGTAATGAACTTACCTATTGTCATTGCTTGATGTTGTATGCTTGTGTGTTGCCGTGTACATGTTATTGAATGTTATTGTGACATGTTTTAGCTGCTGTAATTGCTATTCATGATTAGTAGATTATGTCTCCATGGCCATGCATCAAGAAATTAGCTTTGAGCATGCTAATATGTCACTAATTAACAAGAGAATAAACAAGTTGTATGTAGTGCATTAGCATCTATCTAGCATGATTAATATGGTATTGTTTGCTACTGAGATTCTCTTGAATCTCACCCCTCTCTAATCAACCATTTAGGTCAATCATCAATGGGCAATAATGGCATGAGAAGCAAGGAGAAGAAAGTGGAGAATTGTTCATGTTAATGAATAATATTATCATTCAATGTGTAATTCTCTTACTATATAATTTATGTTGTGGATACCAATGATGCCATTTAATTAATTATAATATTGATGGCATGAATGAAAGTGTATGAGTATGAATGGAAAAGAGTAAGCCCATGTTATGTATGCCAAAAAAATAAAAAGAATTAAAGTAAAGAGATGTTAAGGGATAAAACGTAGGTCTTGAAGCAGTGAGTTTGTAGCTCCAGTTTGACCTACCAAATGAAAAAGTTAAATCACGAGATTTGGCAGACTCATAGCACACATCCCAAGCTTTTAAATGAGAGGTATATCACCTCAATTGGATGTGTACACAAGGAGATATGAATTTCTAAGTTGAGCCACAGAATCTAGAAGTTTCAGATTTTATGAAATGAACAGTAATATTTATTGATTAAACTATATGAATTGGGCAAAGATAAGTCCAATTAGATATTTTTTCCTTAAAGAGCATTGAAATAGCTTTCTGTAGAATTTTAGAACACCCTAATACGATTTTTATGGAATTAGTTATGAATTTTTTAAGTCGGACCTGTAATCTGAGAATTAAACAGTGAATAGTAACCTCAAGTAATTATGTTGAAATTTTAAATCCACGGGCTTGTGTAATGATCTGCTTGAACCATAACACTTACGAATGCGTGCTCTGAGGGGTTAAAGGTAGGACGTTTCACCTTTCAACTGTACCTATTTATGCAATGCAGTCAACTAGGTTGCCCTACTCTACCTGTCAAAGGATCACGGCAACTATCAGAGATTTTGTTTAGGGGAGCACCAAGCAACGCAAAGGCATACCACCGGTCAAGTGGAGCATGGTATGTCAACCCAAAGAAAATGGCAGATGTGGTCTTAAAAATGTGATGAGACAAATTCAGCTTTTCTTCTCAAACTGGCTTATACAATTACTATGTAGCCAAACCTATTTTGGGTCCAAGTCATCAAACATAAATATCAATGGACTCCTTTTCATAAGCCGAACCTTAAAAGTAAAAGCGGCCTTCTCCTATGGGGAAGTCTGACGCCACTCTGGGATGAGTTAAGCTTAGGCATAAGCTGGGAAATAGGAGATGGTAAGAGCATTAGATTTTGGTCTGACATGTGGGTAAGGGATCTACGCCCGCTGAAACACTTGGCCTTTACTTCTCTAGACGAAATCAATCTAGAAAAACCACTGATTCATTTTGTGACATATAATGGAAGTTGGAGATGGGATGAATTTGCAAGCGGTTTGCCTCAACATGTCCTTGAACAGATTGCCGGCATTCACTCGCCAACCCAAAATACAAATCCAGGTAAGTGCATATGGAGTCTTACTAGTAGCTTACGTTTCACTACTAGGTCTGCCTACAGACTCATCATGGAAGATGACTGGGATGATGAGAGCGATCGCTGGAAGCTTGTATGGAAATGGCTCAGGCCCCATAGAGTTAGAACCTTCCTATGGCTGGCTATGAGCAACAAGTTGCTAACTAATGAGGTAAGAGTCTGACGGCGAATGACTGAACTAGAAGTATGCAGCATCTGTGGAAGAGGGAAGGAGGACCTAAACCATGTCCTACGGAGGTGTAAATTAGCTAATACTTGCTGGAAGCTTATAGTACCTCCCCAAATTCAGCCACCTTTCTCAAGCCAACCATCAACAAATGGTTCGACCTGAATCTAGGCATCTCCCACAGCAACCCCCCATGGGCGATTATATTCGGTTTAATGTGCTGGAAACTTTGGGAAGCAAGAAATCGTAGTATTTTTGAAAGGGAGAGCACTAACCCTTATCGTTTAGTGAATGAGGTGTTAGCTCTGAGCAATCATGTTATACAAACAAAGAAGAATTCCTTGCTAGAATGCGCTTAGGCTGATCTGTTCAGGCTCTTTCGATTTTGCTTTATTGTACTGCTTCTTGCCCCTGTTGTAAATATCCGTTTCTAATACAATCCCACTTTTCACTCAAAAAAAAAAAGGCAAGTGATGGAGTTTCTGTGTTGTAATGCATATCATATATATTTTGGCAAAAAAAGAAAAGAAGAAAAAGACAGAAAAAGGATAGTTAAATTTCATAATCTCTCTACCGCTGAGTTATATCCCTTTCCTTGCCCCGCCCCCATCGAGAAATAGAACTGACTAATCCTAAGGCAAAGGGTCGAGAAACTCAACGCCACTATGAATTTGAGAAATCCTAATTTGGTCTCAAGAGACCAAATTGGGAATATCTTGTTAAGAAAAAGACCAAATTGTCCTTCATTTTATTCATTGTTTTTAAAATACCAAGGCCCTCATTAGCCAGCCGGTCAGTCGTCGGAGCTCTGGCGGTCGAAAATAATTTTTTTGAAAATTTTCACAACTTCAGTATAACGATTAACAACTTTTGTAATGCTATTAACAACTTCAGTATAGCAGTTAACAACAGGTTTTTTGAGAAATTCAACAAGCTCCGGCAGCCAAAAACAATTTTTTGAAATTTTTTTACAATTTCAGTATAACGGTTAAAAAATTTTGTAACGCTATTAACAACTTCAGTATAGCAGTTAACAATAGGTTTTCTGAGAAATTCAACAAGTTTCGGCGGCCGGAAACAATGTTTTTGAAAATTTTTATAACTTCAAAATAATAGTTAACTTTTATGACGCTATTAACAACTTCAGTATAACAGTTAACAACAAGTTTTTCGAGAAATTCAACAATTGGTCATCGGAGCTCCGATGGCCGGAAACAATTTTTTGAAAATTTTTACAACAACATCAGTATAACGGTTAACAACTTTTGTAACGCTATTAACAACAGGTTTTTTGAGAAATTCAAAAAATAGCATTTTTACAACTTCAATAATGCCGTTAACAAGTCCTGTAACTCTATTACCAACTTCAGTATAACATTTAACAATATGTTTTCTTTAAAATTAAAAAAAAATGACATTTTTACAACTTTAGCAACTTTTTTTTTTGGAAAATTTTTACAATTTCAGTATACCAGTTAACAACTTTTGTAATGTTATTAACAACTTCAATATAGCAGTTAACAATAAGTTTTCTAAAAATTTTAGAAGTAGCATTTTTACAATTTCAGTAATGTCATTAACAAGTTCTGTAACTCTATTAATAATTTTAGTATAGCATTTAACAATAGATTTTTTAAAAATTAAAAAAAAAGGTATTTTTATAACTTTAACAACTACTTTTTTAAAAAAATTTTTACAATTTCAGTATAACAGTTAACAACTTTTATAACTCTATTAACAACTTTGATATAGCAGTTAAGAACAAGTTTTTCAGAAAATTCAAAAAGTAGCATTTTACAATTTCAGTAATGACATTAACAAACTCAAAAACCTGTTGTTAACCACTATACTAAAGTTGTTAATAAAGTTACAAAAGTTGTTAACCGTTATACTGAAGTTGTAAAAATTTTCAAAAAAAATTGTTTTTCGCCGTCAGAGCTTCAGTGACCAATTGTTGAATTTTCCAAAAAACCTATTGTTAACTGATATATTGAAGTTGTTAATAGCATTACAAAAGTTATTAACGGTTATATTGAAATTGTAAAAATTTTCAAAAAAATTATTTCTGGCTGCCGGAACTTGTTGAATTTTCCAAAAAAACTGTTATTAACTAATATACTGAAGTTGTTAATAACGTCACAAAAGTTGTTAACCGTTATAGTGAAGTTGTAAAATTTTTTAAAAAAATTGTTCTAGCAGCTAGAGTTTGTTGAATTTCCCAAAAAACCTGTTGTTAACTACTATACTGAAGTTGTTAATAGCGTCACAAAAGTTGTTAACCGTTATATTGAAATTGTAAAAATTTTCAAAAAAATTGTTTCTGACTGCCAGAGGTTGTTGAATTTCCCAAAAAAATTTGTTGTTAACTACTATACTAAAGTTGTTAATAGCGTTATAAAAGTTGTTAACTGTTATACTGAAATTGTAAAACTTTTCAAAAAATTGTTTTTGGCCATCAGAGCTTGTTAAATTTCTCAGAAAACATGTTATTAACTGCTATATTGAAGTTGTTAATAGTGTTATAAAAGTTATTAAACGTTATACTGAAATTGTAAAAATTTTCAAAAAAATTGCTTCCGACCACCGGAGCTCTGGTGACTAATTGTCAGTCGGTCACCGGAGCTCCAGTGATTGCTGTCCGCTGGAGCTCCGGCAACCACCTGGCCGGCCAGTGGGGGCTTTGATATTTTAAAAACAATAAATAAAATAAAGGGTAATTTGATTTTTTTTTTTTAACGTGTTAATCCCAATTTGGTCTCTTGAGACCAGATTAGGATTTTTCAAATTCAGCAGACCATTTGGGCATTATGAAATTTAAGTATCCTTTTTCTATCTTTTTTCCCAAAAAAAAATGCATATCATATATACATAACAACAAGTATACACATGTAATATGGTGCTGTTTCAAAAAAACAAGAAGAAATTTCTAAATATCATTTATTTAAAATAATTTTTATAATTAAATATAAATATTTTTATAACCAATATTTTTATACCAAATATAATATTTTTTTATTAAAATATTTTTATAATTAAATATAAATATTTTTATAACCAATATTTTTATACCAAATATAATTTTTTAATTTAGTGATTAAATAATTCTAAAAATGAAGAATCTTAATATTGTTATATTTTGTTATTATTATAATTAAATTATTGTTATATTTCTTATATTTGTTATTAGGATAGTTAATGTTATTATATTTTCTTGTTATAAATTAAATCATCTTATTTTTAATATGACCGGTTTGATTCTGAGTTAATCCCGATTCGACTCATTGACTTTCAAACAAGTGTCTCAATCGGTTTAATGTCACATTGATATTATGATATTAAATGGGGGTAAAACTGAAAAAAGAGCAAAATATAGGGTGTGTTCGGATCATCTCCTTTGCCGAAAGGGGACTCTTCCTCACGTAAAACAGGTTCCAGAGAGAACAAATCAAGGAGGAATGGCTTAATCCATATAGCGTGTCATTTGTTCTTTTAAAAACTTTTAAAATATTTATATAATTAAACGTATTAATCATTTAATAATATCTTTTCAGTTATATTTTTTAAAAATTAATTAAAATAAATATTTAAGAATAAGGCTTTTTAAAACCCACTCATAATTATTTTTTTTTTAAAAGAAAAATCGTCCCTCCCTCTAATCGAAGGTGCGTATGGTACGAAAGAAGGGGAGTGGAAGGAGGATAAGAGATTTTGATTATTTTTCCTTATTTGGCAACCTAAAAATTTTAGGAGGGGAGGCTAAATTTTCTAAAATTTCCCCTCCAAATTTGGTAGGATTTGAATGAAAAAAACAATATTTTGTTATGTTGTGACTATTATGTTTATATTTATTTTCAATATCCCTATATCATTCCAAACCCTTTTTTTCCCTCTTCAGACACTGCTTTCTCCTTCTCCACCCCAACCCAGAGCCAACAAAATAACAAATAGATTATTCATATCATATTTGAAAGAGTTATGTCAAAAGTCAATAAAATAACAAATGGATAAGAGTTGAAACATATAATCATTATTGTTAGATATTGTAAGTATAATTATAAGGTATAATTTTTGTTAACAGATAAAATTATATAATATAATTTTATATTAAATATTATTTCTAATTCTATTTCATTAGATATTCTATAAAATTTGAAAAAAAATCTTGAATAGAATAAGGGCAAAATGTCTATGTAAAAATATTTTCTCTCCTCTCTTTTAATGAACCAAACAAAGTAACATTAAAACTTCCCTCTCTTTTTTTTTATAAATCCAAATGAAGTAATATTAAAATCTCTCTACTCTTTTTCTCCATTAAAATTTCTTCGTTCCTTTTCTTTCATCAAACCAAACTAACCCACATACACACCATGGTGATCTTGGGAAAAGAATCTCTTCGCTTCCCTTTTCCATTCTCTTTTCTCTAGTCCTTAGATCAATATTTTAGTAGTTCACATTTTATTTTTGGTTTACGATTTTGTTAAGTATTTTGGTCATATTCGTCCGGTACCCTAAAAACAATTTTTGAGATGCGTCCAATGCTATTAAGTATTTTTTTCAACTGCATTTAGCATCTAAATTATTTTGTAATTCATCCAACACTTGAAGTATAAATTTTTTCTAGGTGCATCCAACAACTTAAAAAAAATACTGAAATAAATATTTTATGGTACTTAATATATATTTATTTAACCAACCTTTCAAGGAGTTAATAACAAAATTAAAATTGCTCATAAAATAATACTCCCTTCTGGTCCTTAATATAAGGATCTAATTGTTGAGTTAATTTTGATCCTAATATAAGATCTATTTCTCAATATTATTAATTTTTTTCTAAATTATCCCTTTGGATACTTCTCATCATAATTAAGTAGAAGAGGAAAAGAGGATATTAAGAAAAATAAGTATGATCTTTTAGGAAAAACATGTCATATTTTTTATAATTAACTAACTTACTTAACTTCCTTAACCTAATCAAATTAGTTAAATAGGTATTGTATTAAGGACCAAAGCAGTACTTTAAATGCACAATTATATTGCTTCTGAAAAATTAACAATTCGAGAGAAAAATTACATCACAAAATATTTTAGAGTAGGGTACTAAACATATTAAAAAAAATTCGTCGATATTGGTTGCACCTCACAAAATATTTCGGAGTGTTGGACTAGATGCATTTTAATCCTTTATTTTTAAAATTATTATTAAAATGTTAAATTATAAAAAGTAAATAAATAATAAAATATAAACTACCAAATTTTAATTCCAACCGTTTACAGACTTTTAAAAATATTTTATAAATAAGTTTTAAAAACATTAAAATCTGAATCATTACAGAAGGAAAGAAGGGGAGAGAAGAGGGGAGGCGTTGCCTTTCTGCACGCACACGACAGATCTTGATATTCCATCTTCGAGTTCTACGGCGCTTCTTCAAATGCTCGTTGTCCTTTAAGTTCTTAACATTCTCGTTAATTACATTCAAATGATTACTTTTGCAAATAGCTCTATGTCCTTATTAGACTATAATAACAAGATGACATTTAACACTGGAGCCAATAGAACACTTTGGGATGCCCAAAACTCCTCCAGTTAATATGCAAAATCAAACAATTGAAATTGCAAAAAATACTACCTCTGGATTTTAATATAAAAACTAATTGAAAATTTAACTTGATCTCAAATATAACATTTTAATATATTTTATTTTAATACTTATTTATTTTGCCTTCAAGTAATTTCTTTGTTAAGTAGTTTCATGAAGAGTAATTTCAATATATATAATTAGTAAGAGTATTTTAAGAAAGATAACATCTATTTATTACAATTAACTAATTTAACTATTTTTTTTTAATATTCTCTAATTAATTATCAAATTTTTATATTAAGAATCAATACCCTAACTTTGACTCTCAGTTAATGCAATCCGTGTCAGGCAGGTCGAGAGATATCAATGCAACCTATGTCCTCTGCATGCACCGCCTAAACAATGCACTCTGGAAATACGGAGTGTGATCAAAAAGACTTTCGGTTAACGTTTATTTCTTGGCACCAAGAGTCCAAGAGGTCAGCCTCGGGTCATAAACATTACTGGTGGCATTGTGTTTCTCGAGCTCTTTGTCCTTGAAACAATTTTCTTACAAGTATTTTTAATTTTTTTTATTGGAAAGAATTTTTATTCAATGAAATTGAGCACCCTTTTTTAATACAGAATTTAAATATTAGTTCCTTATATTGTAAAACACTTGCCAGACATAACTTCCATTGATATGTCTCCATGGTCTCTGATTTCCCATGATCAAGTACTCTTACATAATCCGACTAATAGCAAAGAATAGCACATCCATCTACATCATCCCAGCCAGAATATCTTCACTAATTTTAGCTTCATTGCATTGAGCTAATTTTTAGTCCAAGCATTTTCATATAACTCCCTCATTAACATGTCAACAGTGAATTAGATGTTAAGCAGGTGAAGGTAATAATATATTTTCAAAAAAATTGAGTAAAGATTTTTCAGGCATTGTGTGGATACTTTTTCTCTGACTAAGATGCCCCCAGAATTAATTAATTTATGGGAATAAAATGTAACAACCCACTTTGGATAGAATAAATATGATAGTACTTGGCTTCAGTGCAGGCTTGTAGAGAGTAGCAGATCTATGAGATACATATTGTGTGTGTGTGTTTGTGTGTGTGGTGGGGGGGGGGGTGTTGTAGTGGGAAGTGACGAGGCAAGTGGGTTTGAAAAGTCAAGCCCGCCGTGTAACTCATTGCTTGACTGGGTAAATAAAATAACCTCTCTTTCCAGGAAATCGCATCTATTTCATCAAGTTTGTTTCATTTTAAACTGTTTCTTCAAGATCTTGCTCCTTAAATCCCAACAGAACTGGAAAAAATAGATAAACAAAGTCAGTGATGAGAGAGAGAGACAAACCGCTGTGTCCAGGGTGACTAACCCGCCCACAATCGTCGTCGCCTTCCAGTTATTCTTCTTCTTCCAGCTCCTTTCCACCATCGCCTCCTACAATCCTGATGATCATTTCTCAGTCAACTGCGGTGGTTCCGACAGTTTCTCTTCTTCATATGGCCAGAACTGGACCGGAGACACAAATTCCGGTCTATTCTCTCCAATCGAACTCTTCAACAGCAATAATTCATCAGTAGGCGACAACGCAGATGGCAAATCAATCCCTTACAAGACCGCACGCTTCTCTCGCTCCGAATTCTCCTACTCGTTTCCTGTGAAGACCGGCGGCCAAAAGTTTGTTCGCCTCTACTTTTACCCGTCTTCCTACAACCTCAACTTCCTTCGCTTCGATGCTTTCTTCTCCGTCAAAGCAGGGCCCCACACCCTGCTCAAGGACTTCAACGCTTCGCTTAACGCCGACGCTGGCGCTTCACTTGAAGTTGCTGCTCCAGACGGAGCCATCGTACGCGAGTACTGTGTCAACGTTGACCCAGGACAGAGGCTGAACATAGCCTTCACACCCAACGGATCTCATCCGAACGCCTATGCTTTTGTCAATGGGATTGAGGTCGTCTCTATGCCCGATTTTCTTTATTACACAGACCCAGAAAACCTGCAGGGGATGATGCTAGATGGTGGAACCCAGCAGTATCCAGTTCAGAACAGCAGTGCTCTCGAGACTGTGTACCGAGCTAACGTTGGCGGAGGTCCGATAGGTTCCAGTTCAGACACAGGCATGTTTCGTTATTGGGAGCAGGACAATCCCTACTTGGAGAGGGAGCGCCCACAGAGTGTATCCGCAGGTTTTGGTTTAGATGTGGATCACACAAATTATCCAAATTATACTGCACCGGACGTAGTATACAAGACTGCTCGAAACTATGGGAGGCAAGAGAAGTCCAAATTTAACGTGACCTGGCGTTTTCAAGTGGATTCAGTCTTTCATTACATGGTAAGATTGCATTTTTGTGAGTTTGATGAAAATATTGAAAAAGTGGGAGACAGAGTTTTTCAGATCTTCATAAATGATGCTTTGGTGGAGCCTCTTGCCGATGTGATGATATGGGCTCACAAAAGATTGGTTCCTATCCATAAGGACTATGCGGTGTCGATGCCGAGTGATGGAAGGTCAAAGAAGCTGAATCTTTCAATTCAGTTGCAACCACACCCAACCGCAAGAAGCACTTACAGGGATGTTTTATTGAACGGTATTGAAATTTTTAAAATAAGTGACTACAATGATAATCTTGCGGGTCCTAATCCTGATCCAATTCAATCTCCATCCACGCCGTCCTACAACTCATCGAGGAACAGAAACAAAGGAAGGGTAATTTTCATTATCGTTGTTGCAACATCAGGCTTCCTTGTGCTGTCTCTTATTGTTCTGTTCATTTTCCGGCGATTCATTAGAGCTCCGGTCAAGGAAGGATCTTCATGGTGGGGACAAAAATCAGTTGACTCGTCCAAAAAAGACAAACCCCGTGGGTCATCATCATTACCGTCGGATTTGTGTCGCTACTTTTCTATAGATGAAATAAGAGCAGCCACAAGTAACTTCAATGATATTTTCATTGTGGGGGTTGGAGGGTTTGGTAATGTTTATAAAGGCTATATTGATGATGGAACAGTCCCTGTGGCTATCAAACGGCTCAAACCAGGTTCCCAACAAGGCCTCCGTGAGTTCCAAACTGAGATTGAAATGCTCTCTCAGCTTCGTCACAATCATTTAGTTCCTCTCATTGGTTACTGCAACGATGGCAACGAGATGATCCTCGTTTACGAGTTCATGGCTCGTGGGACCCTCCGTGACCATATTTATGATTCCGATAACCCTCCACTTTCCTGGAAACAAAGGCTGGCGATGTGCATTGGTGCTGCTCGTGGACTCCACTATCTTCACACTGGTGCGAACCGCAATATAATCCACCGTGATGTGAAGTCCACAAATATCTTAATAGATGAGAAATGGGTGGCTAAGGTTTCGGATTTTGGACTATCCAAGATAGGACCCACGGGATTGTCCAAGTCTCACATAAGCACGGTGGTAAAAGGAAGCATGGGTTACTTGGACCCAGAATACTATAAACGTCAAAGGTTGACTGAAAAGTCTGACGTTTACTCTTTCGGAGTTGTATTGCTGGAAGTATTGTGTGGGAGACCTCCTTTGATACGTAACGTGGAGAAGCAGAAACTAAGTTTAGTGGAGTGGGTTCGAAAATGTCATCACGAGGGTGTGATTCATCAAACGGTTGACCCGTTCCTGGTAGAAAGTATCACACCAGAGTGCTTAAAAGCGTTCAGCGACATGGCCCTGAAATGTCTGGGGGAAGATGGAAATGAACGACCTTCGATGAACGACGTCGTGTGGGGCTTAGAGTTTGCGTTGCAGCTTCAAGAAGGCACAGAGGAAGCGGGGCTTCTTGTTGATGAGGGCGAAATTGAAGGAAAGAGCGAGGAAAGGGCTCTGATAAGGAAAACGACAAATGTGGAAGAAAGAGAAAGCAAAGTGGGGTTCACGAGCAGTGATGAATCAAAAGGAAGCAGGTTGACTAGTTCAAGCAGTGAAGATCAATCTCTAGTTTCTGGATTGATCTTCTCTGAGCTGGGTCATCCGTCGGTTCGATGAAGAAGTAATCCGGTGGTATTTGCTAGGTGATGGATTTTAATTTCGTCCTTTTCCAAATAGTAACGGCGTCGTTGTATTGCTGTGTGTCTTTTACGGCAACTCTGAACTTTTATTTTCTATCTGTATAAATATAAAATATGCAAGCAGAAAATTAAATAATTACTTCTAAAAGTACGCATGATTACCAGTTGAGATCACACTTCTTAGATGCAATACAAGTCTCTCAGAGTATGATTTTTATATACCTCTCCCAATTTAATAATATATGACTACAGAATCAAGGGTTCGATTATTTGCGAAATCTCTTCAGACTATTCGTAACCAGCGGCTGGCTGGAAAAAAAAAATCCATAATCCGTTCTCACTCGTTGGAATTTATCTTTTTAATTAAAAAATCTGTTTGTGTCTAACTGTATATGGATGGCTCCATGGGAACTACCTTTCCATTTTTGATGTCACATCATTGACTGATTCAAAAAGCTTGCACCTTCCAACCAAGTGGCACGAAAAGTAGATGGTGCTCAATGTGGCTCTTCGTGGTTTTGTTTTATTTATTGCTTTGAATATTTAAATTGTTGGGGTTGGCCTCCCTTTCTATGCAGAGAAAAGCCTAATATTTAAAGTATCTTTTGAGTCTCACTTATTAAGGTGGGGATGGATAGATTAGGGTTAAAAGGTAAGGCCTCATTTTGAGGGCAAAAGCAGCCATCTGAAGAGAGGAAAAGTTTGTTAAAAAAAAAAAAACAAGAGAGGAAAAAAGGGAAAGTTATTTTCACATCTTCGCATGGCAATTTCAGTAAATAGGCATTTACGCATTAGTTAATCATTGGATCCGGCTGAAACTTGATTAGCAGGTTTGCAACATCTAGTGCGTGGTCAAATCATCGATTCATTACTTGGTATAAGAGATATTGTGTTTGTCCTACAGCTTCATTCTCTATTATAAGCTTAAAGCTTTAGTTGTTAGGTTGGTCATTTGCACTCGTTTACGCATCTGGTTGGTTGTATTTTTTTTTTTAATCTGGATGACCCATGATTTTTACCCTTGCATTGAGGGGTTTTCTTATCTCTTATACTATTTAATTTCTGCCATATGCTTCTTCTTTTTTTCCAGAACATTCTTGCAAGTGGTGAGAAAATATTTTCACTGCATGTAAATCTCAGGTTTAACTTGTGTGTTCTTCTCATTATAATGACATCAGAGCCAGGTTCTCAAGTTGACTGGTTGCCGGGGTGTGAGCTTGTCACATTGGCTTATTGTTGAGTTCTTTGACTTTCTTGAATGATGCAACATATACAAGTAGGATGATTTCTTTAAATGGTAGTAATTATCATCCGTGGAAGGACAAGATGAAAGATTTACTGTTTGTTAGGAATTTGCATCTTCTTGTGCTTTCTATTCAAAAGCTGAATTCTAAGTCTGATGAGATTGGGATTTCCAATATTAGCAGGCGTGTGGTTTTATTCAGCAATTTGTAGATGATAATGTTCATAATCATGTTGCCAATGAGACAAATGCAAAAACTTTGGGGAGAAGATTGAGTCCTTGTATGCCCTCCAAGTTAGAAAATAACAATGGTTTTGTTTGTTTGATGAATTTGAGATACAAGGATGGGATTTCCATTTCTCATTACTTGAATTAATTTCAAGAGCTCTTGGATCAATTGTTAGGAATGGATATTAAGTTTGAAGATGAAATTTTGGGATGATGGCTTCTTAATACTCTATTTGAGTCTTAGGAGACATTTCGAGTTTCTATTACAAACTCAACCTCTAATGGTGTTATCTCTTTCCAAATAGCAAAGGACAGTGCTTCTAATGAAAAAAATGAGAAAGAAGGCACATGGTTCTTCCTCTCAATTTGAATTGTTGATTACCTAAAATAGGGGGAGAAATTAGAAGGAAAAACCAAAATGTAGTAGAGAAGAGAATAAGGGTAAGTCTAAGTTGAGACATAAGGATGTAAAGTATCATTATTGTCATAAAATGGGGCATATTAAAAAGAATTGTTTCCAGTAAAAAGGGAGAATAAAGATAAGAAGGATGAGCAGAAAGACAAGAGCCAAGATGAGCGTGTCAATACTACTATCAGTGATGATCTAATTATTCTTCATGATTATCACACAGTTAATTTTATATCAAATGAAAGCATGTGGATTGTAGATGGTGGTATTACATTGCATGTCACACCAAGAAAAGAGTTCTTCATATCTTACATATCTGGTAACTTTGTGGTGTTAAGAACAGATAATGATAGTATGTTTAAGGTGGTTGGTGTTGTTGATGTTTGTTTGGAAACAAACATGGGAATGACAACATGGTGACATTGCTATATTTTTAGTACTTCTAAAGTGACATTACTTCTAAAAAAACCTTTCGAATACTCACAATTCCTGAGCAAAAATTTTCGGAACAAAATTGGACCTTAAACCATAATATAAATGTTAGCAAATGACAGTGAAAGCCTCACAACAAGTCTTAGGGGGTTTGGCAATATTAAAAAGTGCTTCTCAGAAGCACTTTTTTACAAAATGAGACAAACTCCTCCATATATTTACTTCGTAAACCGTAAAAGCACTTTTAAAATCATAGTTTGGTTTCCATCCAAAAACCTCTTTAATACTATTTCTGGTCCTTAACATAAGAACTAGTTTGACTTTTAATTTGGTCTTAAATATAAGATCCTAATCTACTTGATCTCACATATTTATTTATTTTTTCTAAAGCAATCCTTGTAATATTTAGTTGCACATGTTAAATATTCCATCAAATGGTAGTTCTAATTATTACATATGATTATTAACGATATTTTAAGAAAGACAACACCTATTATTATAATTAACTAATTTAATAAACTTTCTTAATTTACTTAAATTAGTCAGCTAACTTTTATATTAATGATCGGAGGTAGTATTAAAGTTGTTGTTGCAAATATTAATTTTTGAAAAAAGCCATAACATAAATCATACTGTCTCAAGAAGTCCTCAAATTCATGAGCCACAACTAACAAATCTTTTTTTTTTTTTTTTTTGCTTCACACAATCATTTTCAACATTTGAGTTATTTGACATAAAATCTGACAAGGAGTTATTTAGCTAATTGTTGCTCGAGTGCTTCCAATCTAGACACGATGTTCATGTTCTGTCCCCCGTCTTCTTGATTCTCTCATATAAGTTTTGTGGCTATCCTTCTATGTGAATCCTCTTCAAAATCAAAACGGAGCGTTGAATTGTTGATGGAAGAATATGTCCTATCATTGCCCCCAAAAAAAAAAAAATCAGTTTCACCCGCCACATTATGTTAACTAGCATTTGGTAAATTGTATTTTTGAAGATTGATTCATAAGTCTTTTGGTCAAACTGTAACTTGGGCTGTTCATGTGATAAGACTGGATTATAACCAGCAGGCCGAGATGGGAAGGCCTCGTCCTTTTTTTTTTTTTTTTTTTGAATTTTTTTACTTTCTTAATTTGAAAACTGTACATGGAGTATAGAAACTGATGATAAATACTATACAAAAAAAAGGTAAAAATTAGATTAAAAAAATTGGCACTAATCGAAATTTTGCAAAGAAAATTTTTTCTATGATATTAAGAGACAAAGAAATAAATAAACTTAAAATATCTCCTAAAAAATCACATAACCCATACAAAACAATTTGTAAAAAACATAATCAAAATAACAATTAATAAATATTATTCCAATAATATTATTATAGTGATAAAAATAAATTTATAAAATAAAAAAGAAAGATAATATTTCAGCTGTCAAAAGAGACTGAGATAGGACAACCGCGCCACATAACACACGACACATAACACATAACACAGTTGAATATCCCAAACCATCACAGTAAACTAGAGAGTACATCCTCTAACTCGTCTTTTTCTCTTTTAAGGGGGTGTTTGGATAGAAACCAAACCATAGTTTCAGAAGTGCTTTTACGGATTACGAAGTAAATATATGGAGGAGATTATCTCGTTTTACGGAAAAGTGCTTCTGAAACCATGGTTTTGGGTTTCCCAAACACCCCCTAAATCTAAGTGCTTTTCGTCCCTTCTTCCCAGCATGACCGTGTGAGAGAGAGATTTTAGAATAGGGAGACACACATATATACATATAACACACTCACACACTAAATTTTTTTTTTGACCTTGCACACACTAAATTTTACTTGTTAAATTAGTAGAAAAATTGTTTTTAAATATACACTACAACGATAATGAAATTGAAATTAGAAACATTTACAATGGACTGTATGACATGAATTCCTCTAGAAATTCAAGAAATACAAATATAAAATATACTTGAAAATAATAAAAGTTGATTAGGTAAAATCCTAAAAGAACTTACCTCTAAATTCATAGCCATAAAAAGGCTTTCCAAAGAGTTGATCAAACTCTTACAACTTAATTGTATTCTACCACGAATACAAAAACAAAAGTAAATATATGTCAAAGAAAATTTTCATTTATAACTTGAAAATAATTGCATACAATTGACTCTTAAAATAGACAAAATTCCTAAGTCAATTTCTCTTTCTCCTGAACTAAAAGATGTTCTTGTTTGGAGCATGTACAATTACAGGGTGTAGCCCAACGAATTCAAATGCTCGGGAAGGCGGAAAGTCCAGGTAAGGCCTAATTGCTGCTATAGATTTATTATCCTAAAAATCGAATTGACTAGAAAAGCAAGACTCTAAATATTAAAATTAATCTAAAAATATAGAATATTATTAGGATAAGATTGTTATCTATTCAAATTTAATCCCTGAGATTCCTATTCACCAACACATATTTCTAAAACAATACTCCCTCCGGTTCAAAATATAAGTTAAACTTTGTTGAATGAACTTAGTTTTTTTTTTTCCCTAAGAAAACATTGAATTTTGTCAAAGTATTTATTGAGTTTTTTTTTCTAATTTTACTCACATATATTCTCTTTCTTTTTTGATTTATTTATTACATTTTTATATATTTAGTATTTTAAGGTGATTTTAACTAGTTTTTTGATAAACATAAATGAATAAAGTTTAGCTTATATTTTAAATTGAGGGGAGTATATGTAATGGATAATTTGTAACAACTCAAAAGTATAATCTACATACTTAACAAAAGTACTTCATAAATAGTCTATAAGTATTTCTAGTGTTCAATCAATCAAAAAGAGCATGGGCATGTCCAAACAAC